TTGGGAATCTTTGTTTTGGACATGGTGCTTGCGCTAGGGAGAGTTGGAAAAAACGAGAGAGGATCGGTGGTTATTGAAGAGTGTCTATGGGCGATTCGGTTGCCCAGGGGGTATCCTAGATGCGCCTGGCGCGTGGAAGTCGGGGTAAATGGAAAGTTTTGTAACGGATGTGATGCTGGATGGCCGTAGCGCGGCGTGGCGAACTGATGTATGTCTGCGCGTTGTGCGTCTTCTTGGCTTTCTATTTCTCTGGCTCTTTCTATCTGGTAGATGTCGGTAAACGGCAGTCGAGACGGCTTGGCAAGGGAAGCGAATGGAGGCGCGAGCCTGAGAGCTGTGGATCGGCAATGTTGAGAACTTGAAGAGAGACGAGCCTCCAGGAGTCCAGTGTCGAGATGAAGGGGACGGGGAGAGGTTAAAATGCAGTTGGTCTAGTTCCGGGGTGGTGTGGGAGGATGGTGACAAGGGAACAAGGTTAGATGACAGGATGGGGAGGAGAAAGAAGGAGGCGTAGTCACGAATACACGATGAATGAGTGAATGTGTTTGGCAGGCGCTGGCAGCCCAGCAGCAACCAAATTGATTTGGGCGCGAGAGCGAGATTGAAAATGCCATTCGCGAAGTGGTACGTACCTCCGAGGCGCTGCGATGTTGTACCGTAAGGCACTTCGTACTTGGAACTTTGAAAAGGTATCTCTGTGTCCCCAACGAAGTGCAAGGTACTTTCAGCAGCACAAGGTACTTTTTTTGCAGTGGATCGTCGCGCCCCTTTCCCCAAAGCCTGAGGGAGGGTTCCATTGAGTACGTATCCACCTTACCTGGGTACCTAGGTACCTAGGTAGGCACGGAGTACCTAAAGTACCTTGCCTTGTGCAAGTGGCAGACGGGACGGGACAAGAAGTCTTTTCAGGCAATGAGCGCTGTTTGCTCCCGTCCAACTTGGCCAGAGGCGTTCGAGAACAGAGACACAAACACGACGTCGCAACGGTGCTGGTAGCAGGCATGATTTACCTTCAGGTGCCTTGGGGTGAGGTGGGTGGCACGGGATGGAACAAGGAAAAGGGACCAGAACAACCGCAAAGGCAAACGAACCCCCCGCTGCCCGCTATTCTCAGGGACCTCTTCTACCTATCGAAACGACGCTACTTCCTCTTCCGCCCCCTCCATCCACTTCCAGGCTCTGTCTGTGCCCCTCCAAAAAAGACCCTTGCCGGCCGCTGCGGGAGTCCAACGTTGGAAAAGAACTAGAAAGGTGGCGGAAGCTGCGAATCTGCTCAGCCACATCACCAATAATCTCCCGTCTTCCTCTTCCTCCCTCACTTTTCAACTTCAATTCAGCCCTTTCCTTTCAGAATCCGCCTTGTCCAGCCGCTGGCCCATGTCACTCCCACATCCAGGCGTACACACGAACCACTGGCATTCCACACTCGAGCCACTCCGTGAGCCATGGACTCCAACCGCCTGTCCCGCAGTCGGCCGAGTGCCTTACTCAAGTTCCTTGTCTCTTCCCCTCTATTCAACCTTGCTCCAAAGTTCCAACAGGGCCTGAATAGGCGCAGCTCATATTCCCTTTATTTGCACGACACAGCAAGTCGAGGCTTTGGTCAAGGTTGTCGTGGCCGACGAGCTAACTCCCACTGGTGTTCAATAGACTGAGGATCCTGCATACAAAGGGCGATGCGTCAGCTGGCCTGCGACTTCGCTTACCTTACAGCGTATCTCTCCGAGTCTGGCGCTGGCTTTCACGGAGCATTCGCTCTCGGGACCTTCGCTTTTGAACAATCTCGACGGTGTGACTGTATCTCATGAATCAGCGGCGACTTTACACGAAATGGCAGTCGCGAGTTTCGCCATTGCCGAAGATCTGGCACGGATCGTTGGACAGGTTCATCGTGATGCCTCCCACCACTACCACAAAAAGGTTGCATCGCCACGCCTGTGAGATCCAAAGGGAACCAACGGCCCGTATCTGCCTCTCTTCACGATACCACCAGCTGCTCGGGTCATGTCGTGTTATCTGCATCGGATGGTCTCACCGCTGCCTCTCCAGCGCACGAGAGATGCCCCTCTTGCTCTCCCGTGACAGGACCGAATCGTGTCAGCTGGGCTTTCCACACAGCAGATGGAATATGCAGCCCGCCGCCTTGGTCAGTCATCATCCATCCTCTTCCTCCTGCGGCGCGCGCCATACGAATGCGATGGGGACTTTTCATGCATGGTGATTGTAACTCCGCCTCAGCTTTTTCCACCCGCCTCAAAGAAGCGAAATGCCGCGCTGCAGATGCAAGCCATCCTCAAATTCCAATGATATTGTGCCGCGTCCCACGTACCTAAGGCACGTACGGCACGCAGGCTTCCACCCACCAACCCACCGGGCGTGCTTTTCACGTCACAAACCCCTGAGCAACCCAGGCTCTCGGAGACAATTGGCTCACCGTCAGCGTTTGTATGGAAGATCGTCTGCAGCAGGCCTCCGATAACTGGGAATGCCTGAAGTGATTGGGTCGCATGGATTCTTACATCAGGCAAAGTTTAGATCGGATCCACGATCTGCGCATGCCGTTTCCGAGGACCAAACAGTATCTCATGCTTTTTCAACATACTTGTGTTGCGCCGGGGGGAGACCAGAAAGCATCTTGGGAATGAGTTTCCTGCTAATTCCATGTTTTTTTTTTTCAGTGTACTCTTGCTGTAAGTTGTGATACAAGGAAGGCGGTGATGCAAACCCTCTCCTTCCTTTGTAAGTGCGATGGGAAAGTTATGGAATCAGAAGTGGAAAGAACGAGGAATACCCTTTCCCTGCATACTAGCCACCTTACCTTCCGGTGGAATCTCTTTTCCAAGACCAACAGCGTGAAGTAATTACCCGTCTTCACCTCCACTTGCTTCTCTTCTCTACGCAACCGCGATCTGTAGACTTGCACTTCCTCTCCTCATACAACAAGATATCCATCTTCAGCCACAACGAAAACACCGCGACAACATGGCCGGCAAAAAGTCCGCCACGGCCGACCGCGGTCCAACTGCCATGCACAAGTATCGCGGCACTGGTTTCGAGGGTATACCTCATTGAACCACATTCGATCGCGGCTGTGCCTTGCTGACATGCTCTCCCAGAATTCTATGCCGACCCTCCCATGGCTCCTGCCGAAGCCCAGGAGGAGCGTGAGAACATCTACAGCCTGTAAGTGATTCGTGTCATCCATCACTAGCTCCGGGCAATCACTGACGTGGGCTTACAGAGAGTTGACCTTTGCCGAGTAAGATTCTTCCTTCCTCGTTTGACTTTACAACTTCAACTAACGGACCAAAAGACGCATCCAATCATGCATCCAGCGCTACCGCGCTCGCCGCCGTCTGGGCGCTTCCGACCGGATCTTCAACAAGTACCTCTTCTTGGGAGGCATCGACACCACACCTCGCATGTTTGGCGGCAATGTAGATGCCGACCTCAAGGACATGACACCGGCAGAGAGACGAGAAGCAACGGCCATTGACACCGTCTACAGCTCCGGCGGTGGTGCGCGGTTCTACAACGACGATGATCCCGATGGCTGGGATGTCGACTTTGCCGGTGTAGTCGCGGGGTTTTGCTCCGAGACGCTCCCGAACGAGACGGCCTGGGACTACGCGCAGATGGGCAAGGCAGTTGGCCTGCTAGAGAACTTTCTCACCTATATCCTCCACCACGACGTGTGCCCAGAGTATGACGCCAATGTCAAAGAAGCTCTGGATCTCTGCCAAAAGGCCAAAGTCGACCTGCCGTTGTCTCATCAAGCTCTCCTCCGATTTCCTGGCCAGTTCAATTTGGCGCTGTCGGAGCTGTTTTGCAATGACTTTTTCTTCTTTGGAGACGCCGAGGAATTCCAGCGGCCAATGGATTTCTCCCCTGAAGCGGTTTTCAAGGTTGCAATGGCAATGAATGCTACCCAGGAGCAGTTCAATGCCGTCGCTAATGGTCTGAAGTACGGCACCATTGAGGTCATCGGCGAGGAGGAGTGCAGCGTCGAGATTATCTCCATTCACCGGCCGAATGATGAGGCGCACAGGCTCACACGGAGCATTCGTCTAGGCAAGGGATACCGATTCGAGCCCGTCGGAATAATCATCACGAAGCCTTGCGTCATTGAGGATGGCTACGACTACGGAGAGGACATCATTTTGTCTGATGAACAGCGGGACACCTTCTACCTGGAAGATTCAATCCTGCAGCGCCTGAAGCCAGGTTTCAAACTGCAACTCTGCGTATGCGAGCTCAACATTGGCATCAAGTTTGTGAAGCAGGCTCGTCAAGTTCTCGTGGAATGGTACACCTTCCTGCCGCAGAACCTCATGCGACACTACAAGGAGCCCGTACCTAATGAGCGCCCTGCCCCGTCGGCCATCAAGGAAGACGCGAAGACCGGCAAGCAAGAAGCTGTAACTAACTGACTACCGACATTGGTCTAGTACAAGAGTTATCGGCTGGCTGTCACTACGCGAACATCACTGGGTTGGGCCGTCTCATGGAAGATGACAGAGGTCATTGGCTAGGTGGACTATAAGCAAGAGGTCAGCTTGAGGCTGAAAACGGGGCATTGTATTAGACTTCCCCCTAGGTAGCCGAGTCACAAAAGCATGGGCGTTTCGGAAAGGTTGGACCAAGATACCCCGTTATAGAGATGAGTCTTGAGGATCTGGTACCTAGTACCTAGTGTATGTGAATGATACAGTGAGAAATCCCACCAGTGTCTCGCGTAAACTCGTGCAAAACGTTATTACTTCGTCAAACCACCCCAACTCCACATACCGACGGGTTCCAAACAATCCCCGCGCTCACAAAAACTAAACCAATTTATAAGAGCCACCAATGGAATAACAAGCCGGGCAAGCCTAAGCGAAGAAAAGCCATAAAAGCCGGAGAAAAACAAGAAGAAAGCAGTCGAGAGAAATAGAGGATGGCAACGGCAGCAGTAGAGTCAGAGACCCTACAACGCCACTCTAGGATATCTCCATCCTGCTCTAATCCCGAGTCTGAATCTTGTTGTCGCCAGCCACGACCTCAGCATAGCTAGGCGGCACAGCACCATCGCTGCTTCCCTCGCCGGCGCCACCCTGCTGCGCAGAGAACTGCTGCTGCTGCTGCTGCTGCTGCTGTCTCGACGAACCGCCAGCATTGTTGTTGTTGTTGTTGTTGCTGCTGTTGTTCGTGGTACCGTATCCGACGGCGCCGTTACCCTTGCCGCCGTGCTGCGAGGGGCGGGGCTGCTGGCGCGGCTGCTGGGTGTGAGGACCGTTTCCGTTGGGACCGTTGCCGTGGACAAAGACGTAGGTGACGCGGCCGCCCTCGCGGTCCTGTTGCGGGACGGACTCGTATTCGTAGTCTGGCTCGGGGAATTTGGCGATGATGTACCAGGCGTGGATGAGGCCTGGGATGTAGCCTAGGAGGCAGAGGAGGATGTTGATTATTGAGTCTGCGCCGCAAATACCGCGCTTTACCCAGACTGTTGGAGTAGATGTTAGTTTTAGTTCAGTTAAGAGTATGCGTTTTGGAATGCGCGGATGGATGGAAATGTAATTACCTGGGAGAGGCGGGAAGAGGAGGGCCAGGAGGCCGAGGAAGATGTCTGCGGAACACATTTCGGCGAGGTGTGATGCTCGGATTGTAACGTGTGTAAGGTGTAGTGGTGATTGCAAAGAGACTTAGGGTCTCTGCGGTGTTGATGCTTGTAGTAGTCTAAAGTCGACGCTTTTGCAAGAAGATGTTCTTGCGCAGAAGTTACAGGTGGGTGGCTGAATGGGTGCAAATAAGGTGACGTTTGCGCCTCTCGCCTCTCAAGGTTTCGGTCCCGCGGGCTCAGATCAGGTCAGCAGGCAGCGAAGCAATTGAGCCGTGAGCCGGTACGTAACGGGTCGTAAGGGTGGCGGAGCTGGGATGACTGGTGAGGCGTGGGGGACTTGCGTAATGGTGCTGGTTAGGTCCGAGGTAAGACGGCCAAATGATTGGTTGCTGCGGAAGAACATGCGGCCGAGGCGGAGGCAGCCGGGGGATGTGAGGTGGAGCTTGGGTTCCTGAGGGGCATCACCGCACCGGGGTGGATCCCTGGATCGCGCGCTTTTTGCCGATGTTTCTGGACTTTTGCGGTTGCTTCTTACGGTCATGCGCCTCGACGAATCCCTTGTTCATTGATCAAGTCTTTCTTGAAAGAAAAGCTTGTATCAATACGCCTGAATCACAGTCTTACTTCTTAAAATATTATAATACGCACCGTGTTTCCAGTCCCGCTAGCTGGCGAATATGCAGGAACATGGAAGCCGCATGCGACAGTGACGACGGCCCTGGGAATCGCTGCCCCGCCGAATAAACCCCCGCCAGGTGTGGGAAGCTCCCGCACGGACCATCCCAGTATCCCCAGCCGTGATGTCAAGGTCCCCAATTGAAATTCCCAATGGGCGCGTTGGCAGTGACTTTCCACGCGACTCAAGTTGCTGCATCTTTGACGATTCCTCAACCCTCCAGAGGTCGCAACGCCCCTTATCCTCAAGACCCGACATCCTATGATCATAAGATAATCTAGCCATGTCGATCCCCGGCTTGGGCCACCTTGTGGCGCCAGTAAGCAAATAAACACCGTCTTTCTCTTGAAACCACACCATCCAGAGAGCTCGAGAACCGCCAGCTAACACACACACCCTCCACCAGCAACCGACGTCCGCGAACCAAACCCGCACAATCCGCCTCCAGCCCTTCTGGGAATGGCGCTTCCAAGTCGCCTTCGACACCCAAATCACCCTCAAACTCCTCTCCGGCACCGCCGAAAAAGACGGCACCGAGCTCGCCCTCCAGCACATCTACACCTTTGCCGGCACCAGATCCAAGATCCTCACCCTGCAGGGATGCGAGCTCGAGGTCGAGGGCGTGCTGGCGGAAGAGTCCGTCGCAGAGTACGCCAAACCACAAGACTCCCCCGCCAACTCGGTCCTGAACCTGCACTTCCAGCTCACCGCCATGCGCCAGCGCGCCGCCGCCGAGAGGAGGGAAGGGCCAAGGATCGCCGTCTGCGGGCCGCCGACGACGGGGAAGACGAGCCTGACGAGGACGCTGACGAGTTATGCCGCGCGGGTGGGCGCGCAGCCGTTGGTGGTGAACACGGATCCCAAGGAGGGGATGCTGAGCTTGCCGGGGACGTTGAGCGCCAGCGTCGTCGGGTCGTTGTTGGATGTCGAGGCTGTTGACGGGTGGGGTACGACGCCGACGAGCGGGCCGAGCCAGGTGCCGGTCAAGCTGCCGCTGGTGTACTACTACGGCCACGCGAGCTCTGCGGAGGACCCGGCCAAGTACAAGGAGCTCGTGAGTAAGATGGCGGCGACGGTGACGTCGAGGCTGGGGCAGGATCCCGAGGTCAAGGGGTCTGGCATGATAATCGATACGCAGGCCGTGACGGAGACCAACCAGGTTGGCATGGAGAACTTTGTGCATGTCGTGGAGGAGCTCTCAGGTATGATTCCCATCTTCTCTATCGATGGTCTGATGTGCTGGCACTGACATGGTAGCAGTCAACATCATTATTGTGTTGGGCTCACCAAGTCTCAACGCCGAAATCACCAAGCGCTTCTCAACGGAAAGGACTAGCCTCGGCGAGAATTACAGCATCCTCCTCTTGGAAAGGTCAGAGGGCGTGGTTGAGCGCGACGTGGGCTACACACAGCAGGCCTGCGAGGCGTCCATTAAGGAATACTTCTTCGGTAGCATCGGCCAGACGCTGAGTCCCGCCACGCAGCAAGTCGACTTTGATAGCCTGGCGATATACAAACTAGGAGATTGTACGTGATCACCTCGCACCCCATCATACAATCCCGCCCAAAAGTCATGCACAATGTTTGCTAACCTACTTGGCCATGATCTAGACTCCATGTACGGCGGTGGCGCCGACGAGAGCCTGATGCGCGTGGACCCCGCACAGGCCATGGCCCATTGGACGCTGGCGATCGTCTATGCCTCAGTCAAAGACTCACCGGAGACAATACGGACGGCCAACGTGATGGGGTACGTGTACATTGCCGATATCGACAAGGAGAAGCGCAAGTTGAGGATCCTGGCACCGGTAAGTGGTCGGTTGGGAGATAGGCCGCTGTTGATGGGCAAGTGGCCGGAGCCGTTTATCAACCTGTTGGGATAGGATAGTTTCAATGATACCACTTTACATCGTCACTCCTACCGATATTTTTGTTGTCTCTTTTCTCCTTAGTAGCCTCGTTTTATGGTATTCCAAATCGTTGGCATATCAGGCTCGATCATGGCTTGGCAGAAGGACGAGTCAGCTCTTCTCATTCACCTCCCGTTGAGCAAACGATATTCCAAGACCTGAAGGGTGCGGCTCAGCTAGCCTCCTGTTCTCGCGAACGCCGAAGACCAATCACTCCCACGTCACTGGAGGCTGGTCAAAGTCCGGTTGAAATTCATGACTAGTTTTGGCCTGGTTGCCTACCTTAGTCCAGATGTGAGACATTGTCCCCCTATCGAGTTAACCTTGAGTCTCCAGCAACCAACGCCGACAACCACACGACAGAGTTGTGAGTTGCACAGTTGCATGCTCTTGGCCAATCTACATCTACGCGGGGCGCCACCAACGCAACTCTAGAGACCCTCTTTCGCCCGATGGATGTTTCGGTCAACTGTCCAACTACTGATCGGAGTGTGTCATTGGTTACAATTTTTCCTTCGCCGGGATATATCGCAGGAGTCAAAGCCTGACTACCTGGAGTTGTGGAGGAATGACACACACGTTGAGGGAGAATACTGCTCAATCATTGTGTTCGATATGAGTTGCCTTCGGCCTTCGCAACCACCTCGAGTACTACCCAGGATAGTGACTAGACTTGGATGAGTTGTCCAGCGCCACTAACGGAACTAGTAACCACTTTCCCTCTCCAGTTTCGCAACTTTTTACGCCATGTCTTATAATTGAAGCAAACATTCCATAACTTCAGCAGCTATTCTGTGAGTTTTAGCAGCTTTTTGCCACTGCTCAACTTGACCCAGGACTGGAGCCTCGAGTCTTTCGAACCCTCGGTAAATAGACTTGGGATCACAACTCACGCGACCTCAGTCATCCTCCAGAGCTCAATAACTTTCGGGCGCCATGTCTCAGAGCAACAGCAAATATTACACCTTTTCAGCAGCTTTTTTTTTTTTTAACTTGGCTTGATTGGAGCTACATTCTGCGAGCTCAACAACCCCGCCTTCGCTGAATCGTATAGGCCTGGAGGGAAGTTGTAACTTGTTATTTTCATCAAGCGCCATTGACGATGGTGGAATCCCCCTTTCTCACGATCAAAGGCCACCACTTGCAGGCGCCGTGTCTCGAGATCCCAGCACCCATTGTGCCTTCCATCAGCCAGGCTATGAAGTGGTTCCGCAGCTCCTCACCCTGTAGAACCCGTTCTGGAATGCGATGCCCCATCCTCGAGTTGCAACTCGGAATGGAATTGGTCCACGTCCAAAACCACAAGGGAATATCATAATAAATAGAGGGTTCATCACCCTCCCCCCTCCCTTTCTACGTTGCTCTGCCAGTGGGGAACTTCGGACGTGGGTATTGAAATTACGCTGGCCCATGCCCGTTAACCTTTCCGATTTGTCAAAGTTGTTGTCACCGCTGGAAACTCAAATTGCTTTCATTCCAATTCCTCAACCGCCTGGTTCTAAACATGGGGACGTTTACATCGCTCCTAAGGGGGCGGGTTGAGTTTGAATCTGGATGTCAACAGCAGCAGCAGCAGCAGCAGCAACACCACCAGCAGGAGAAGAAGAAGAAGAAGAAGAAGAAACCCCCGAAAGTCGACGTGTACAATCTCCACCCTACGGGCTGGGAATCCGACCCGGAAGACGAATACCACCGCCTCTGCACGCTAGACTACTGCTCCGGCACAATCTACTGCGCCTACGCCCTCTTCTTCAAAGTCGACCCGGGAGCAGACAAGCACAGAATCGTAGAGGTCCTCAAGCGAGGGCTCGAAATCACGCTCAGCCAGTGCCGCCGCCTCTGCGGGACGTTGAGGGAAGACCCCGACGGCGGGAGCGGCCTGTGCTTTCACAAGAGGCGCGAAGACACGGTTGAGTTTCACGTTCAATGGCTCGACGGTAGCAACAAATTCCACGATGACGACGGCGAGGATGGCGCCGCGGGTCAAGAAGATGGGGGTGATGAAGAGTACCCCTCCTACGCCGACTTTGAACGCCAGCACTTTAGCACCCGCGCCTTCGGCCCCGATCTGGACCTATGGTGCGTGCCGCCCATGACGCCCGCCGAAAAACCCGCGAACAGGCCAGAGAATAATCCCAAGGCGGCGTCCTTCAAAGCGAGCTTCATCCCCGGCGACGGGCTGGTGCTGATGATGATGCACCACCACTTGGCCAACGACGTCAACGGGTGGGCGGGGGAAATGCACCAGCTGGCCGAGAACTGTGCCGCCATCTGGGCTGCGTCGGCGTCGGATGCGGATGCGGGTGCGGCGGCCGCTGGTGGGAGTGGTGGTAGTAGTAATAATTTTGGTTATGTTGGTGATGCTACCCCGACTGGTGCTGCTACTGCTGCTGCGCCACCGGAGCTGCCTCCGTGGGACCCCGCGTGCCTGGA